AAAAGCCGTAGCCCCGGTCCCAGGCAGAGGGCTGCTCGGTGTGGGGGTGAAGTAACTCCCGAGCGAGCGGGCGGGCGACCCACGCTGGACGGACAAACGTGCCGGGACGGCGCTCTGGGCAGGAGAGGCTCTGCCGCCGGCCACGCTCGCTCCTTGGGCTGCTTGAACCACGCCGGCAGGCACGGTGCCACGGACACCCGACAGCATCGCAGCGGAAGGAGCACAGGGACCGCTGAGAGCGCCGCAGGGTGGCACGGCCTAGTGTGCGCCCCGGGCCCTTCGGGAGGACTCTCGCTGTGCCAGAGGCTCCGTCCCAAGGCGCCCCGCGAGCGTGGGGTGAGCCCAGAGCTGTGCCAAGCCAGTGCACTTACATTGTCAGTCCCAACTCCTTCGCCACTTCCAGGCCTTGGCCATGGTGTATCGGCAGAACAACAGCGTACATGATGAACATCCCGAACACGCACTGCACCGTGTGCAGGATCAGGTACCCTGGAAAGGAGAACACACAACCCTTACTGCGAGACAAAGGGCGACCGTGGCGCGTGGGCTTGCGCTGCCGGGGGCACGTACCCCATAACAAGTATGCGATTTGCCAGCCGGAGTATCTTGCTATTGCTGCCTGCATTTACAGAAGGACAGAGCTTGAGTCAGCGCTGTGGGTTAACACCGGGGGCGTAGAAGCATCAGTCCGAGCCGCCCCACTGAATTCCAGGTGTTGGCAGGACGTGCGCTGCGGGCGGGGAAAACCCGCGGGAACTTACCACGCTGCGAGAAGAAGAAGGCTGGTGAAATCTGACGGGCAGGAAATGTTTCTCCCCTGCCCACAGCCGCTTCATGTGTTTTCTGGATAAAAGTGGCAAAGTTAGTTTACAGAGTTTTGCACAGATAAATGGGAGATTTATTTTTTCACAGCTTATAGCTAGACACGATTAGATCACGTCTGCAAGGAATTGTGCTGTTTGCAGTAATGACCCTGATTAGATGAAGCTGAGTTGCTCTGAAGCCTCTTTATTCTAACTGGATGGGTTCACGTGGTTTGGTTTAGTCATTTAGCTTCGTTAACAAATTCTAGGACACTGGAGAGCTGTCTTTGTGGATGAGTCTTGGCCACCCAGCTGCCGTGGCGCAGGCGGGCCACGGCAGTTGTCCAGCACGGGGCCGGGCTCAGGAAAAGGCTGAGACCCTGGCTCTAGACCAGTGTTTCCCCACCTTTTTTATCCCTTTTAAAAAAAATTCTAAGTCCCCCCCAGTCCCTACAGTTTTCAGACACACAATATTTTTTTCTACCATCGCAACACATTTGTTTAAACAACTTCATCGTAGCCGGGCAGGCGATGGAATTTTTGGGTGCAAAAAGTACAAAACTAATAACGTGTTGTCAAGCTTAGAACAAAAATTCCGTTTTCTCCAGACGTCAGTTGTGCTGATGAACCCCCCGACTTCTCTCGAGTGCCCCTGAGGGTCCTCGGACCACTGGTTGAGACACACTGAGCTTGAGCAGCCAACGCCCGGGCAGAGTGCACTAGCGCTCGATCAGCTCCCTGCTGCTGGAGGACTCGTGGCCCGAGAGACCTGAGCTGCCTGGGCGGTTCGCCTCCGGCCCGTCCATACCTGTAGCAGGCCAAGATGTGGAACACGTAGGTGATGCAGGTCAGGGAGGCAGCAAAGACGGTGAAAAACCAGACACCTGCGGAAAAGCCGAACGTGTTCTCTGCCGCTCCCACGGCGGGATGGCAAAAGCCCTGTGGCTCAGCTCAGAGCTCTCAGCTACTGACCCACAGGGAATCACAGGGCCACACAGCCAGGGGCGCCTCGGGGCCCCCCTGCCTCAGGCGGGGGCTCCAGGCCCCCCCTTTGGCTCGCTTTGGGCCGGGCAGCCAGGCACTCTGAAATGCTGCGGGTGAATTACAGCGCGGAGCCCAGCCCAAAGGCCTGGCTCAGAACCGTGGATTCGAGTCCATGCCTGCACCGGCAGAACAGGGATCCTGAGCGCCTGGCGGTGCACGTTCCCCGCCACTGCTCTCCCAATGTGCAGCGGGGGTCCCTGCTTGCCTGCCGAGCCCGGGAAAGGAACAGCCGCGCTGCCTGTCTGACACGGGGAGACCTGTCCACTGGAGACGAGGGGGAGCTCCCACTCAGCTTACACATACCCGCGGCAGCTTTCGGCCTCTGCGCCGCTTCCCATGGGCGCCCGAGTCAGAATGAGACTTCGTGGGAGGCCCTTTGGTTTGCCCCACTTCCGCCACCTCCCTCTCTTGGAGTCCTGCCACCCAAACGGGCTGTGTCGCTCAAAGCCTGCGTGAATATAGCCACCCAGGCACCGCTCGGCTCGCTGCGCACCTTGCCGGGAGAACACTTGGCCCGCGCCAGGCAGGAGCTCACGCCCAGTGGGCCGAGTTCTCCCTGTCGACTTTTCAATCGATGAAACCCAGACCAGTTCTTCCAGACTCCTTTAAAAATAAAGCTTGGCTCCGAGCCCAGCCGTAACTCAGGGAAGCCACTTTCCATGGGCAGCTAAGCACAGGAGTTGAAAGAACGCACCCAGCCACTCTCCTCCTGTTCTTTTCTCCCTCGTTCCTCCGCTCCAAGCTGCTAGCGCTCAACTGCCAACACACCCGGCAGCAGCCGAAGTGACAATGCATGCCGCCACGCATATTATTTTGCTTCCATATTAGGGACTAAGGATCCAGCAAAAACTGGACAAAAAAATTCCAATTGGAAGTTTTTCTATCAGCAAAAATTTAACCAAAACTTTTGCAGGAATGAGAGGAGTTTCATGAAATTCTGATTTGGGGGAAAACCTGGAAAAAGGCATTTTGAGAGGATTAAAATATTCCATTTCCACACTTGCAGAGCAGGCTGGTTCAACTGGTTACTTCACAATGACTTTTCATTTTTGATTTTTTTGACATTTTTGGAATTTACTTTGATCATTTTAATTGAATTTTTGCACTTTAAATGTAAAATGTCAATTTTGAAATGACATTTTAACATCAGAACGGCCATATTGGGTCAGACCAAAGGTCCGTCTAGCCCAGAGTCCTGTCTGCCGACAGTGGCCAGCACCAGGTGCCCCAGAGGGGGGGAACACAAGAGGGAATCTTCACGTGATCCCTCCCCTGTCATCCATTCCCAGCCAAACAGGCTAGGGCCACCTTTCCTACCCACCCTGGCTAATGGCCATTGATGGACTTTACCTCCATGAATTTATCTAGCTCTATATTGGATCCTGTTAAAGTCCTAGTATTCACCACATCCTCAGGCAAGGAGTTCCACAGGTTGAGTGTGCGCTGAGTGAAGAAAAACTTCCTTTTCTTTGTTTTAAACCTGCTGCCTATTAATTTCATTTGGTGGCCCCTAGTTCTTATATTGTGGGAACAAGTAAATAACTTTTCCTTATTCGCTTTTTCCACACCTGTCATGATGTTATAGACCTCTGTCCCATCCTCCCTCAGTCTCCTCTTTTCTATTTTACGGGGCCCAAAATGATTTTTTTAAATTTCATTTTGTAGGAAACGTGTGTATGTGTTCATTCCCACTTGGCGCTGATGTGCCAGTCACAGCAGGTGGCCCACTGCCTAGCAGGGGCAGGGCCCAGCCTTAGAAGTGTGTGCTCAGTCTGCTTTTGAAAAGGGATTGCCCTCACGCCACCTTTTGTAAGGACAGCTCCGTACCTTGCAGGACATTAATAAACTCTCCCAGCCACGGGAAAACGGGGGAAAGTTCTTCAGTGCTATTGCTAAGTAGGAAATGATTTTCCATTGTCGACTCCAGTGCCCTCAGCTGTTGGAAGGATTGCTTCTGGACGAAAATCTCAATGACAATAAACTGCGGGAAAACAGACACAAACAGCAGCTTAGCAACCTAGTCACTGGCCACTTCTGCAGAACAGCACTGCGTGCCTCATCATCACCGGTGATCCCATTCATTCTGGCCGCGACTCTGTGGGAACCTGGCTGGCTACATTTGGTTTTAAACACACATTCTCTTCCATAGAGGGGATTCAGCTCAACCTTTCAATGACAGCAAGGGGGCGCAGGCAAGCTTTGTCCCTCAGACAACGTGGTGGGAGTTTATCGCCCCGGAGTCTGCACCAGACGCCGAGACCAAGAGGCCCAGAATTAACCAGAAGACATTTTAGATGTACATTAGAAGCAAGAGGAATACCAAGGACAGGGTAGGCCCACTGCTCAGTGAGGAGGGAGAAGCAGTAACAGGAAACTTGGAAATGGCAGAGATGCTTAATGACTTCTTTGTTTCGGTCTTCACCGAGAAGTCTGATGAAGGAATGCCTAATATAGCGAATGCTACTGGGAAGGGAGTAGGTTTAGAAGATAAAATAAAAAAAGAACAAGTTAAAAATCACTTAGAAAAGTTAGATGCCTGCAAGTCACCAGGGCCTGATGAAATGCATCCTAGAATACTCAAGGAGCTGATAGAGGAGGTTTCTGAGCCTCTAGCTATCACCGTTGGAAAATCATGGGAAACGGGAGAGATTCCAGAAGACTGGAAAAGGGCAAATCTAGTGCCCATCTATAAAAAGGGAAACAAGAACAACCCAGGAAACTACAGACCAGTTAGTTTAACTTCTGTGCCAGGGAAGATAATGGAGCAAGTAATTAAGGAAATCATATGCAAACACTTGGAAAGTGGCAGGAAACAGCCAACATGGATTTGTAAAGAACAAATCATGTCAAACCAATCCGATAGCTTTCTTTGATAGGATAACGAATCTTGTGGATAAGGAAGAAGCGGTGGATGTGGTATACCTAGACTTTAGTAAGGCATTTGATACGGTCTCACGTGATATTCTTATCAATAAACTAGGCAAATACAACTTAGATGGGACTACTATAAGGTGGGTACATAACTGGCTGGATAACTGTGCTCAGAGAGTAGTTATTAATGGTTCTCAATCCTGCTGGAAGGTATAACAAGTGGGGTTCTGCAGGGGTCTTTTTTGGGACCGGCTCTCTTCAATATCTTCATCAACAATTTAGATATTGGCATAGAAAGTACGCTTATTAAGTTTGCAGATGATACCAAGCTGGGAGGGGTTGCGACTGCTCTGGAGGATAGGGTCATAATTCAAAATGATCTGAACAAAGTGAAGAAATGGTCTGAGGTAAACAGGATGAAATTTAATAAGGACAAATGCAAAGTGCTCCACTTAGGAAGGAACAATCAGTTTCACACATACAGAATGGGAAGCGACTGTCTAGGAAGGAGTACGGCAGAAAGGGATCTAGGGGTTATAGTGGACCACAAGCTAAATATGAGCCAACAGTGTGATGCTGTTGCAAAAAAAGAAAACACGATTCTGGGATGTATTAACAGGAGTGTTGTGAGCCAGACACGAGAAGTCATTCTTCCGCTCTACTCTGTGCTGGTTAGGCCTCAGCTGGAGTACTGTGTCCAGTTCTGGGCACCGCATTTCAAGAAAGATGTGGAGAAATTGGAAAGGGTCCAGAGAAGGGCAACAAGAATGATTAAAGATCTAGAGAACATGACCTATGAGGGAAGGCTGAAAGAACTGGGTTTGTTTAGTTTAGAAAAGAGAAGATTGAGGGGGGACATGATAGCAGTTTTCAGGTGTCTAAAAGGGTGTCATAAGGAGGAGGGAGAAAACTTGTTCATCTTGGTCTCAGAGGATAGAACAAGCAGCAATGGGCTTAAACTGCAGCAAGGGAGGTTTAGGTTGGACGTTAGGAAAACTACCTGTCAGGGTGGTTAAACACTGGAATAAATTGCCCAGGGAGGTTGTGGAATCCCCATCTCTGGAGATATTTAAGAGAAGGTTAGATAAATGTCTATCGGGGATGGCCTAGACAGTATTTGGTCCTGCCATGAGGGCAGGGGACTGGACTCAATGACCTCTCGAGGTCCCTTCCAGTCCTAGTATTCTAGGATTCTATGATTAAGCACACTGGAGAGTCTCCCCAGGGAACCACGTCCTATAAATGCTCTCCCACAGGAGTAGCACGTATCTCCCAGGGCACACACAGACGTGGTAGCCTTTTCTCTCCCTCAGCCTGCCATGAACAAGGGGAACGCCCTTTGGCCTGGCCGGAAGGTGCCCCAGTCAGGCTGCTGGCCAGCAGGTGCGCGGTTCGGGGCTTACGGGAGCCAGCGGCCCTGGCAGATGTGCGGCCAGTCCTGGGTTAGTTAGCTGGGTGAGGTTTCAGCCTGGCTTGAAATGGTTACAGGCAGGCGGGCCCCGCGGGGGCAGCGCTGCTCGGGGACACGTGCCGTGTACTTACAAGGTAGAGGCAGATGACGGCTAGCACGGATGTGCCAATCATTCGACCGGGGAACTGAAAGCAGGCGTCCCACTCGTACAGCTTGCGCCGGACCCAAGACTTCTGCGCCTGCCTGGGAAGGGAGGGAGACGGGCAAACAGCCGAACGTCAGTGCTGGCGCAGGGACCGAGCGCTGCACCGGTGGCACTTCCAGGGCCAGATCCCGTCCACCGTCATTCCCCCCTTTGCAGAGAAAGAGCCCACCACGCCCTCCTAGCCCCTCCTGGCCAGGCCCCGCCGGGCTGCCTCCCCTGCCACAGCCTC